GCTTCTGCTGATTCATACTCAGTTCCTGTTCCTTCAAGACGCTCAATTATTTTTAGTTCCCCACTTTCTGAAAACTAGTAGATGGAACATGCAATATTTATGTCAAGTAGTCATTCAGAAATTCGCTACTAACTTAGTTTCAGATAAACAAATACGTATATAAAATGCCTTCTGTTTGCTCAGTGCTGCGGGAGGCACAGGAGAGGAAGACTGTGGTGCCTGCTGCCAAGGGGAACTTTCTAGTGTTTATCTAACCGTGAGCTACACCGCCACCCACGACCTACATGACACAGCTCCAAGGACAAAACCCTGCTGGGTTACCTGATGAGTTTGTTTCTTTAAGACCATGTTTGGGCTGCATTTTTATGAACCTGCATTAAATGTCTTGTCCTACCCTGACCTCCAATAGAGTCCCCAAGTTATTGTCCAATTTAGACTTGATAACGTGGCTGAAGCAATTCCCATTGTCTCTTCTGTGGGAGCAGGTGGGTGCAGACATCCGATCAGAGGGCAGGAGATAGATGGGTGCAGTGTGTAGCAACTCTGCTTAATAATGACAATGTACTTGAAGAAGAAGCACCATTTAGCATTTCCAGAGATGTGGCTGCTTTGCTCCCCATTTATATAACTTGTCGCGTCCAAGAAAGGACAAGAGAGATAGTGTGAAATAGACAGTTGGAACACACATCAAAAAAATACATCTTCTCTCGTGATCACGTTGAGAATGACCAGTTTCGGTTTAAAGAATTTTGAATAGCTTCCTAAATCCCTTGCTGCTGAACAGAAAAGCAGACGAGGAAACATCAGGAAGCAGGGAACGAGCTGTCTTTCCCGTGTTTTCTGGTGGATAAATGATGTTTTTATTGATTGAAAGCTTTCCCAGTAGCTTCCTGTAGAGCTTTCAAGCGGCAATATTGTCTAGTGGTTATGGGCCCAACCCCTAACTCGCCTGAGCTGCGTGAACTCACCAGCTCTGAAACATGGGGCCGGTTATTAATTTTTCGGTGTCTCATCTTCATCTGTCGCAGGAGTAATAATAGTGCCGACCCCACAGGGTTGTTGAGAAGATTTAATGATTTTTTTTTTTCATGCTGAATACAAGGTGTCCTATAACACAATGCAGAGAGATAAGTTATATATATACTTTTATATATATATATATATATATATACACACTATATATATACATGTATATATATATAATTTATCTTTATTGTTGAAAGCATTACAGGTGTCTCCCTTTTTCCCCATT